CCTTCCCAATCTTAGTGCCTGGTAGGTTTCTGTCAATGATCTCTTTCTCTCTCCATCCCCGGCGGCCCCCACAGCCCCACCCATCTCTTCCCTGGGTGGTCTTTTTAGAAGGACAATGGGGGTACTCACCGGCTTGCCACGGCTGCTGTGCGGGCTGCTGGCTCCCCTCTGCCTCTGCGCTCCTACATTCACACATATCCTGTGAGAACCTTGCTATTCCTGTGGGGCTTGGGAATCACTGCTTGGGAGCTGTGTCTCTGGCAGGTTCTCAGTCCTTCCCCGCTCGGAGGTCTCCGCCTGTCTCCCAGAGGTGGGGGCCAGAGGCAGCCACTTATGTGGTCACTGACCTCCCAAGGGCCCAAGAGCATCCCATTCCCTTGCTTCAGTCTCTGGGAGGGAATGTCAAGGCCCAGAGAGTAAAGTGAATTGCTTGGCACCCCCTACTCGTGTCAGAGCTGGGATAGGAACCCATAAGGTTCCCCTTCACCCCACTGAGATGCTCTGAGAAGACTAAGCAGGCTGCCTGTGTTCTGTCCTCCCAGGTTTGACCACAGTTAGACAAGGAGCCCAGGAGACTCACAGATTTCTGTCTAAGCATGAACATTCATGTGAACATGTGTTAGTATGTGTGTATGTTTACATACACAGTGCCTTTCAAGTACTTGGAAAGTTAGTCTGTGAGTTTCTGGGTCCAGGATCTCAGAATATCTTATGAGGTCTCATGATTGGATAGCACCTATAAACTCAAGACATCGTGGGGACAGGCCTGGGTCAGCCCTCAGCTAATGCTGGGATAGATCAGGAAGGCAGGTTGAGTGTCAAAACGGCCTTAGTCCTCAGGCCAATGTGTGTCTACACCTGCAGAGGGTTGGAGTTGTTTTCCTGAGTCCTCAAAACTGGGCTGCCGTGTGACTTCCTATGCCAACAAGAAGTGGGAGTGATCAGTTCCAACCCAAGACATAGGAGGCTGTGAGCTCTGCACCCAGCACTGACCATGCCTGGCTTCCCTGTTAGAGGCTGATGCACATGGCATAACCCCATTGTCCCTGGTGAAGCCCCACCCATGCAGCCATGGCCTGCAAGGCCATGGAGCTGGCCTTCCACTGAACACAAATGCATGAGATAGTTCTGCCAAGTCCAGGTCAGACCAGACCTGCCCAGAGAACAGTAGACTGGGAACAAAATGAATTATTTCCTGGTATAGCAGAAGGACTGCATCTTTGTTATAGGCATGGATTTGAGTTTAGAGGGCACATGATAAGATTTCTAGACCTATGTCCCTGAATGAGGAGTTAGGTCAAGGACACATGGGTAGCGATAGACAGGACAGGTATTAAGTAAGAGAAAGGCTCTTCTGAGAATGGAAGTAGGATGGACGCCTGGGACAGCTCAGAGGCTCAAAAGTGTCAGGCCTCCAACATCAGGGCCCTTTATAGGTCATTTGAGTGGGACCTACCTTTTCCACACTTGTCATCAGTGTGCAGTGCTACTCTGTTCCTTCCCTGTAGTCTTGGTAGGGAGGTTTCCAGTATCTGCCAACTGGCTTCTCATGTTAATCTTGATGCCTCTTTCCCCATGTGTCCCAATCTTGTAGCAATCTTTGGGGTAGCCTGATTATCTCTTACTATCAGCGGCCACAGACATTGTCTGGGGCTTAGGAAACAGACACTCCAGAGCACAGCTTGTACCTCTTCCTCCTTAGGCCTTGCTCCTCAGGGACTCTTCAAGTTCCATTGTCTAAAGACAGATTCTCCACCAGGCTTTATAGCCACCATGAGTTGTGCCCTCATTTCATCAAGTAGGGGGGATTAATGTCACAGGACACTCACTAAAGGCAACACCACAGGCTGTCACAAGCCATTGTCTACAACTTGACTTATCCTGATCTTGACTTATCTCTCTCTAAAACCACACCCACATCTACAAAACAAACTATGGGGACAGGATAAGCTGGAGATGTGGGAATGTCCAGGGAGAAAGCCCAGTGCCCAGCCCTATCTACCTCCTTCTCCAGGTCATGTAGCCTGGATGATTTAGCCAGTATGGTCAAATCTCCCTCTCTTGCTGAATGATCCTTGTCCTTGCTTTTTCTTTGGATGTGGCCGAATCTGTCGATTCTGTTTGTACACTGGGCTAATGCTTTGCTGGGAAATACTACATAGTAGACTGGCCACTACAACACAGAGGTGTGCTCATTCTACTTGTTCTGAGCTGGGAGAGGTCCCTTCCTAACTGCCCCGCACTTACGCTGCTCCTCTGACTCCTGCCCACTTTGTGATCCCAAAGCTAAAGTATTAATGGCTACCCCAGCAGTTTAGCATTTGCCCATTTATCTCCACTGGCTAGCACCAGACACATAGTAGGTATACAGTTGTTGCATATAGGAACAGATGCGGCCACACTTTTCCCTCCCTGCATGCTCTGAACAAGGGCTTTATGTAGTAGGTAGGAGTGGGTTGAGGCACAGGTTCTGAGCAGAAGTGCAGAAGTGACGTAGAGGAATGGGTCTTAAGGGAGGAGGTCTTAAGTGGAATGCTTTGGGTCTGGTTTATCTTACTGGTGGGATGACAATGGGTTTCCCCCAGAGGATTCCTATGCCATGCACTCTGGGGGGACAGCCCCAAACTGGTTCAACAGGGACAAGTCTTCAGTTAGTGTATGTTAGCTTATCCTGCCCTGGGGTAGACATGGAGACTTAGGGAGAAGGGGGAGGGACAGAGCAGGCTATTGTGGTATGGTAGAAGGGTCTGTGGCCCAGGTGTCAGGGAATCCTATTTTACATCTACAGAGAAGGGCTCCTGTCCCAGTTAGCATTAAGTCATTGTGAGGAATCCACCAAAGACAAGGCTTCAGACAAGGTTTTAGAGCCATTAGAAAGTCTTTATTAGCTGGCCAGAGACTACTCTGAATCCTCCTTCTCTTCTAGTCCCGTCTATCTTGCTTTCCAATTTGCCAACAGTGTTTTATTCATTAAACAATATGAGAAATATATTTACAGAATGACATCTCCCATCAACAGGTGTTGCTTATGTCCGGGTTCCATCATGGTGGCAGTGCTAAGGTCTGGGGACCTTTTACAAACTGTCAACTTAAATAGCTTAGAATCACCTTAAAAACAAAGTCTCAGCAGAAAAAATGCCTTTGTCAACTTAGAGCATGAACATGTCTGTGAGGGATTGTCTATAGGAGGGTTCAGTTCACTGTGGGCAGTGCCATTTTCTAAGAAGCTAGCCCCAGTATCCTTTAGAAAGATAGCTAGGCACCAGGGAACAAGCCAGGAAACAGCATTCCTACATGATTCCTGCCTCCAGGTTCCTGCCCCGATTTCCTTCAGTGATGGACCATGATCCAGGAGCTGTAAGCTGAAATGAACCTATTCCTCTCCCAAGTTTCTTTTGGCCTTGGTGTTTGCCATAGCAACAGGCAAAACAGAGCATCTTCTGTCTGAGTCTCAGTTTCCTCTTGTGAGGGATGGACTGAGGATGTCTCTATATTATTGTTGGACATTCAGTCTCTGTGAACACTGAAGTAGAGGCACTATTCACATGTTGGCTGCCCACTGTCCTTTACTTCCTAGTGCTGTGACTACTGTACTCTAGTGCATTTGGGTGGCCATAAGAACCTCATCCTTAAAGGTTATGGAAATCACAGGGCCCTCTGGTAACTGGTAATGACTGTGGGGAGCTTCAGGCTAGTGGATGCTGCAATATGGAAGTTTTTGACCCTTTCATTTTTTTTCCTTTATTACCCTTACTTATTGCAAGTGGAAAAGAGATGCTTGAGGGGCTGAAGAGACAGTTGGTAAAGTGCTTGCTTTGCAAACACAAAGATCTGATTTGATCCCTATAGTCCATGTTAAAAAGAAAAAGTCAGGCATGATGGCACATGATGGTTAGCCTAGGCCTGGGGCGGTGTGACAGGCAGATTCCCAGGCCTCACTGGCTTGCTAGCCTAGTATACGTGGTGAATTCCAAGTCAGTAAAAAGACTTTGTCTCAAGGAAGAAGAGGAAGAGGAGGAAGAGGAAGAGGAAGAGGAGAGTACCTGAGAAACGTCTGAAATTGTCCTCTACATGCATGCACATATATGTACAAGCACACTCATACACACCCTTGAGCCAATATTACCTGCGTATGCATCAAACACTTATGCACACACATGTGAAATAAAAAGAAATGCTTGAACAAAGGCACTTAGTGAAGCGGTGCCAGGAGCCAGGGTCACACTAGCGAAAGAAAGTGTCTTTGGTCTCTGCAGATTAGCTGAAAACAGCCTTGTGGATCTGATTGGAGCCATGGTCATGCTGTTGAGTGGCACCAGGAACATGGATCCTGTCACTTGTGCATGTTGCCCAGTGTATGGACTCTTGGAAAAACAGAAGGACAGAAGAGGGAGGTGGACAGTGATGATGGACCACTATAGTCTGAAAGGTCCTGTTATAGAGCCTCTTTTTACAAGTAAAAGGGGGTTTTAAGTTTGCATCTCTACCATTGCTCAACCAAGACAGCTTTTTCCTGGGCTTGGGTGGCTTGCTTGTTACAGTTCCAGCAGGCAGTATGGTGTTCATTTGCTCTCTCACTCACACACTCAGGAGTGCTGGGGACACACAGCAACTGGGGTTGGGCAGTTCATGCTCTCTGTGCGGCTCCCATGTTCCTATGGTTGGCCTGTCTACTGGTTTAGAATTGACTTCTCAACAGTAAGTATGTAAGTGGAGCAACAGAGCAACAACAACAACAGAAAAAATGCAACCTTGTATGCAGCTTGTTAAAGTTAAAAGGCACCTGGAGTCAAAAGGACAGCATTTATGAATTAAAAAAGCACATTAATAACAATAAAAAATATCAATCCAAAGGGAGAAGCTTAGGAGTGAAGGGAAGGGAAATGGTGTTGGCCCTGGCCTGGTGGTTACGCCAGGGTCAAGGTCTCAGGGGTTTCACGTGGAAACAAAGCCTCCATTGTAGTGGTACCTCCATGTCTTCGAAATGGGCATTCCATCAGCTATTTCTGGGTAAGATCAGCTCCATTTATGTATAAGTTTTCAGGGTAAGCATTACTGGGGACAGTGGGATGGACAGTGGCCTGAACTGGGATGTTGGTGGCACTGGCTGGGCTGGTGGTGTTGACAGGTCCATTGGTCATGTTGACCGTGTTGCCACTGACCATGGGTGAGATCACAGTCATGTTCTGAAAGACAAAGACCAGGAAGGCATCTGTGTCCTTTGTAGTAAACTTCAAGAAAAGCAGTACCTTCTTTCTCTTCCTCTTTCCATGACTGGGGTGGGCCCTCTCTCATGGATGCTGACCTTGATCACATGACTTTCTTTGGCTAAGGAGACAGTAGTAATGGGGATACAAACAGAGGCCTGTGAAGTGTTTGCCTACTAAGGCTTGATCTTTCTTGATGCTCATTGAAACAGAAAGCAGGGCTGACCTGATGAATAATGAAGTTTTTGTTTGTTTGTTTGTTTGTTTTGCTTTTTCTACTGTTCACAGGAGGTTTGCCAACTGTGAGAAATGTGTGCATCCAAGACCACACAACCTCTGGGTATCTCAGCAACCAACTGTTGACTCAGCAATCCCAGCAGATCAGAACTGTCTGCAAGGTCAGCAGGTCATGAGCTAAATGCCTCTTGCATGAGCTATTACATCTTAGGGCTACATTTCTGAAGTTACCAATGATAAATGACATTTATAGTAAATTGTAGGCCTAACAACAAATGTCAAATTAGGGTTAGACAATCCTGTGCTAAGTAAGACTGTGTAAGTGTTTATGTGTGTGTGCACAAGTGCATGGGGATATGTGTGACTGTGTGTACATATGTGTATGGAGGCCAGAGATTGACATTGTGTGTCTTCCTCACTGCTCTCCACTTTATTTTCGAGACAGGGTCTCTCACTGAATCACTGGAGCTCAGTGATTGGTTAGATTGGCTGGCCAGTGAGCTCCATCTACCTGTCTTTGCCCCACATTCCCTGACTCCTAGTGCTGGCATTATGGACATATGTTGCAGAGTCTGGCCTTTTGGTATGAGTGCTGGGAGATCTGAACTCAGGTCCCCATGCCTGTACAGCCAGTACTTTACTGACTGAACCATGTCTCTGGCCTTCCCCTTGGCCACACTGAAAAGCTTCTGAAAATCTTATGGGCTTGGTTCCAGAGAGGCCTGATCCCAAAATAGGTTTTGGTAGATTTTGAGATAGGTCTGTCTAGAACACGGCTAAAGATGAGGCTTTATCAAGTTGCAAAAGCCATAATCTGGTAGATAAAACATCCCCAGAAATTTTGAGGAACTTGTGTTAGCAAAATGACCACTAAATTTGAACTGATGTTTCTCATAGTGCAAATATGATTAGATAATTGCCCATCTTTCCAAAGATGGAAAAGATGGGCTCCTTCTTATGAGAAAGGGACAGTGTTGTTGACAGTAGAGTCAAGAGACCCCACAGAACAGTGGGCTAGGAAGACACAACCAGGAAGTAGTACAAAATAATGGCAGGTTCTTCCTCAAAGCTGAACTGATTCCTAACCAAGCAATATGTTCTTCTTAGGATTAAATAAAGATTTTTTTTTGTGTGTGTGAATGGGTGTTTTTCCTACTGGTATGAATTTATACTACGTGCATGCCTGGTGCCCTGAAGACTGTAAAAGAGGGCGCCAGATCCCCTGGAACTGGAGTTACAGACAGTTGTGAACTGCCATGTGGGTGCTGGGAATTGAACCTGGGTCCTCCAGAAGACTAGTCAGTGCTTTTAACCACTGAGCCATGTCTCTAGACTGCTCCATAGGATTTTAGAATTTTATGGAGCAGTGACTGTCCTGGGCCTCTTATAAGGTCTTTCTCTATTGAATGGGAGAGTATATTTGAGTTATCTGGTTCTTGTCTCACTACACTCTGTTGTGTATGTTAATGGAACTTGTTTTTATTAGTATTGCCTTTTTTTTTTTTGGGACAGAGTCTCATGTATTCCAGGTTGGCCTCAAACTTGCTAAGTTGCCAAGGATGACATTGAACTTCTGATTATCCTGCCTCTACCTCCCAAGTTCTGGTATTGCAGGCATACACTACTACTATGTTTGATTCATGCAATGCTGAAGGTCAAATCTAGGGCTTCCTGTATGCTAACCAAATTCTCAGCCTACATTTTCAGCCCCAAAGTTGTTTTGGTTTCTAGGTTGCTATGTCAAGAAGATCCACAATCCATAACAGGACCCTGACTTCAAGCATGGTGATAGAATTGGGTGGAATGCTTGGGATTCCTGGCATGGGGATAAACATGGTTTGCTTTTTTTTTTTTTTTTTTTTTTTTTTTTTTTTTTGTGTGTATGTTAATAACTTGGTTGAAAACAAAACAAAACAAAACAAAACAAAAAAATCCCCCCAAAACAAAACCACCCCTCCCTTAAGTTCTCCTACTTATATGTCTTAGGTGACATTGTAGATTTCCTTCCCTGAGCTAGAGCTGTCCTCTGCTCACCAACTATAAGTTTGGCCACCTGAGTGACTTTGGTCATGGAGCATCAGCAAGCAGGGACAAGCAAGGACTAGAGTGCTTGCATGTGATTGCATGTGAGGCATTACATTCTTGCTAGGCTGAAATCCAGCTGATTTGTATAGAAACTCAAGCTGGCATACTGGAGGATGAGATAACAGGAACAGAAATGAGCTGGCCTGCTAAGAGACCTGAGCACCAGCCTTCCTGAAGCCCATTGGGCAGCTGGCTTCAGATTAAAGAGTGAGTTCATCTGAGAACAGTTGAGGAACAAGTCTTGTATCACCATACAAATGGATGATACTTAGAACCAAGAACCAAGTGAGTCAATGGTTCTCAACCTAATGCTGTGACCTTTAGTACAGTTCCTTGTGGTGTGGTGACCCCCAACCATAAAATGATTTCGTTGCTACTTCATGACTGTAATTTTACTCCCATTAAGAATTTGTAATGTAAATATCATATGTGACCCCCAGAGTGGCCATGACCCACAGGTTGAGTACTGCTGCATTAAATTCTAAGTCTAAGGTTTAAGGTACTTTGTTTTGGGGTAGTTTGCTATGCAGCAAAACTTATCAGATACACCCTTTCAGCCCACTTTTCTTAAAACCTTAGTCATCTCTTGCTAAACTCCCCAGAGTAGGCTCTGATTCATGGAATAAAGCCCAACACTCACCTCAAAATGGGTCCAGCATGTAGCCTGGCACCCAAAATGTGAGACCACACAGGTGATGATGAATTCCAGGAAGGCAAAGGGGAGAAGACCCCCAGTGATTGCTTTCAAACAATCCTAGGGGCAGAGAGAAAATGGGGGCATTTTAGGCTTCATGGTTGACTGGATGGCAGTCTGTACTTGTAGCTCTCTTAAAGTAAATGCCATATGCCTCATCTGTAATCCTGGAGATCCTTCTGTGTGTGGTGTCTTGGCATAGATGCTGCCTTTACGTTGTACCTTTGCCATATCCCTTCAGTATACCCCAACTTCCACTTAACAGCCGTTGCATTTCTTAATCGTTACTTTTATGGCCTCAGAAGCCCATGTTGCTGTTTATACTACAAGCCTGAAGCTCAAACAACCCTCTAGAGAGCAGGCTTGTAGGTTTGGTGTGTAAGTACCCCTGATTCCCTGCCCTGAGGCATTGCTAACTTCCTCCATCAAAATTACTTGTCTTAAAGTTTGCTTCTGAGATGACCCCTACCTGTTATGAACCCTACCTGGCTATGAACCCATATGAAAGGCTGGGGCCCTTACTGTGAATTGGTGATATACCAGTGAGGTCAGGACCATCAGCTCTGCTTGGCTTCTGGCTGTTGTAGCTCAATCTCTGGTCTTGCTTTGAAATCAGACAGAGCTTTGAAAGCAGGACTGAGCTCAGTGTGCTTCCTGCTGTAGCCCTAGGCAGGGTTCTAGGTGTACTTCTCCTCACTCTTCCCCTTCAGCAGAAGATGGGACCCCAGGGTTTGGTCTCAGGCCTATTGGAATCCTAAATTTCTGTTCTACATGACCACAATCTACCTCTTTGTCAGTTCATCCTGTTGCCTAGGGCTGGATTCCAGATGCTAACAAGCTTGCATGTTTTCCTGCCATGTCCAGTCAAGTTGGACTGGGCTTCTTCCAGGGAAGCTCTCTTTTTGAGGACTGTCCTCACCACTATAGATGGGTCTTTTGCTCTGCCAGGTTTCCTTTGTCTGCTTGACTAATCCTGAAGGGGGACCAGGTTGCAGCTTGAGATAAGCAACCATATATCCACCGAGACAATTTGCCTCTTAGAGCTCTCACCGTGGTGTGAGGAACATTGTGGTTTTCTTAGCAGTTGCAGGGTTATGGAGGAAGTTATGTGATTTATGGATCATATTAGGATGGAATTCTGTTGCAATTCCTTCCTGCTCAAGAAACAGCCATGTAAACTCTCCCAATCCTAAAGAAGCCTTGGGACGAGTCAGTTGTAATGCTTACCACCAGTGAACCAAGACCAGAGTTGTAAACACACAGATCTACAATGATAATGATGATACCAGCAAGGGAGAAGATGGAACTGACGATATTCATGCCGATGCTGGCGTTCACCTGAAGGACATAAAAGAGGGGAATGGTGAGCGGAGGTCAAAGCTCAGCATTTGGGAGGACTCTGGACATAGGACAAAAGAGGAGCAGGGCAGAAAGGAGGGGGCCAGGCTGGTTGGGGCAGAAGTCTGTTAGTTTACCCCAGGGTAGTGAGATATGATTGTTCTGTGTTTCTTCAGGGCAGGAACCACCCATTGGTGTAAATGGAAGTTTCTTTCCCTCCCATTTAGTCCCAAATAAACACACAGGGGCTTATGGTAATTATAAATGGTTTGGCCAATGGCTCAGGGTTCTAATTGGCTAGATCTCCCTTAATTATTAACCCATCTATTAATCTGTGTATCTCCACGTGCTCTTGGCTTACTGGTGATGCCTGGATTTCTTGCTTCCTTGGCAGCTACATGGAATCTTGTTGACTTTGCCTACTACCTTTCTCTATCCCTGTCTTGGTTTCCCACCTGGCTAAATCTTGCCTGTCCATTGGCCAAAACAGCTTTATCCATCAACCAATAAGAGAAACACATATTCACAGCATACAGAAGGACATTCCCCATCCCAGTGGGAGAATATCAACACCTGGCTAAGCAGCTGAGGGAGGCAAGGAGATTCGGAAGGGTATTTGGAGGCAAGGTGAGGTTGCTGTGCAGAAGAAAGAAGCAGGGTACCAAGCTTGCCCCGAGAAGAGACATAAGATGATAGGAATGCTGAGGGTGAGCCTGGGGCTGGAGCCTGGGTTGGCAAGCTTGGCTGGGGAAGATTCACCATGCTGAGATGTCAGCAAGCTTTGTTTACTGCCTGGCTCAACTCAGGCTGCTCCCATTAGTGAGGTTCTGGGGAAGAAAATAAAGAAGAGTCAACATGTCACATCTGGGCCAAGTCTGGGGCAGCTGCCAGACATAGAAAGTGAAGCAGAGATTTCAGTTAAAAGTCAGACAGCCGAGCAACACAGAGTCCAGAGAGGCCCAGGAATGCCACAGCCCTTGCTTGGCAAGGGCATTGCGTTTCCCAGAGGGTGCCGGCAGTGTTTGGCCAGTCTTGTTAGGACGTTAAAGGACGATGTGAGATCACTTGATGTTGGGGAGTTGAGGAGGTGCTCCTTTTTGTAAGGCAGACCTAGATAGAAAAAAATTGCCTTGTAGATCATGGATTAGGAATCAGGAGATGCCCTTCATCTACCACTTTCCTTAAGAGACAGAAGCCATGTAGAGAAAGGAAGGGGAAGGAGGGCCTGGCACCAGCTCTGCACTTACACAGAAGCTCCTTAAGTTTGCAGCACAGGTCCAAAGATGACCAGGCTCTTCTCTGCCTGTTGGGATGAGGAACACCACATCAAAGATTATGGTTGGGGATACAATTGTTCCAGAAGTATTTGTTTAGGTCCAGCTAATGAAAAAGTAGGAAATACCTTGGGGGAGATGGCTGTAATACATGTTTATCTCCTTCTGGCCCAGGTCTGGCTTTCTGTTTAATGTAAAACACCTCCAGGTTATCGCATAGCAAATTTTCATGACTTTTCCAAATTGCTAAATGTTTCTCATTTGTTTGTTTTGAGACATGTTTCAGTATGTAGTGGTAGCACATGCAATGTGTTTCAGCATAGCTTTGGAACCAGAGAATTCTGGACTCAAATTCCAGTTCTGTCACATATTCACTGTGTGATTTGAGGCAAAGTCTGACATTTCTCTTGTGACATAGCTAAAGTTCCTTCATCTTGTCTCAGCGAGGCATCTTTAATTTAACCTGAAATCACTCCACCCCCCTTTTTAAACCCGTATCATGAAAGTCCTTTGGAGAGCACCCAGGTTTTTCTAGAAACTCAGAGTCTTGGTGCTTGTGATAGTCCAGGCCTCTCTGACACCCTGTCTAAATTTTCTTCAAATAAGTGTTATCTGGCCTGTCACCTCTGAAGGTAACTTTAGTTAAGGGGCCTTCAGTCTAGGACACAAAAGAAAGGCTGGGCATAGCTGCTGATCCAGTGTCTAGGATCCATGTGACATGTCACTGGAATCCCCTAGTCTGTTCAGGTATGTGAATGTGTGGTGATCATCATGGTTGTCTTTACTATGTGTCTCTCTGTGTGTCTATTTGTTTCTGTCAGTTCTGTTTCCCTATATTGATTAGTGGCTTTCTTTGGTGTATGACACCCCTTGATATTAGATGCCTTTTGTATGCTGTAAATATACATTGCTTTTATAGGTTGATGGATAAAGCTGTTTGGGCCAATGGACAGGCAAAGTATAGCTAGGCACCTTCCCCTTGTTCGAGCCCATTTATACCGTCTGGGTCAAACAGATAGCCAAAGGGGTGCTGGAGCCAAAGGGGTTCTTTTCACTTCTATGGCCATGGAGGTAGCTGATATTATATCACACATGGATCTACCACATCCAGGTTAAGAAAACAGAAGCCAGTGATGATGATGCCAAATGGACTATCTCCAGAGTATAGACACTTCAAAATTAGGGTTTCATTGGGCCCTGGACCTTGTACCCTCTGACTCTTTGCCTCCTCTAAGTCTTGTGTAGATGAGTACAAGGTCATGGTCCAAAAGCCATCACCCTTAGGCCCAAACCTAGGAACCAAGGAGAAAGACAGATATAGGAGAGGTGATAGCTAGAGTGACTACAAATTAGCAACCCATATTCCATCTTAACCACTGCTCACTGATGCTCACTTTAGGTGTCTGATTGTATTGGAGAAAGATGTGGGAGTTTATCTTTTGAGGTAGGAATGCAGAGTTTACAGTTCTGTGCATATCGGGAGGCTAGGCTCCCTAGTTGCCAAGAACCAGGGAGTTTCCATTGTAAAAACTGAGGCTGTGAAACAGACTGTATTAACAATGGGGCTCTGCACTTCAAATTTCATGGCCAATTATGTAAAATAAAGGATTGGTCCTTAGGGCCAACTATTCCTCTTTAAGACTCATGGGTTGAATCCTGCCACTTTCGGGGAAATTCCTGGAGCTGCTCTGAGCACACTAGACCTTCCTACCCACGCAGGACCACCCGGAATTCCCACCTGCCTGATCTCTGACCCCCACTGCTGGTCCTCTACTGGAGTTCCGGGGCCCTTCCCAGAGATCTGCCTATCCCCTTGGAGCCATCCAGAGCCCCTGCTGGCTGGATCCTTGACCCCCATCACTGGGCCTCTGCTAAAGAGGCCTCAGCTGGAGAGTGCCAGGCGCAGGCTAGATCAACCTGTCTGCACAGGAACATAATGAGTCCCAGCCTGCAGGATCTTTGACACCCATCACAGGGCCTCTACTAGAGCCTGATCTTTGACCACCGTTGCTGGGCTCCTGCCTAGAAGAGACCTCCTAGAGCTTGAACCACCCAGAGCTACAACATCGAACTTCTGACCCACCTAAGCCCACTGGGGGAGTATCAGAGAGAGAGAGAGAGAGAGAGAGCCCCCACCTGCACCTACTGGAAGAAGCCATGGGAAGACGGCAATACAAGAAAACACCTAACAATAGAAAGACAAGCATGATACCATCAGAATCTAGGGACTCTACACAAACTAGACCTGAACACCCCAAAGCAGATGAAGCAGAAGAAAAGGACTTAAAAAATATTGTCATAAAAATGATAGAGGCCATCAAAGACGATGTGAGAAAATCCCTTAAAGAAATAGAAGATAAACAAAAAAACTGGAAGAAATGAACAAATTTCTTAAAGAAAGTACAGAAAGCCAAGAAAAAACAATTAAACAGGCGAAGGAAACGGTTCAAGACTTGAAAACTGAAATAGAGACAATAAAGAAAACACAAATTGAGGGAATGCTGGAAATAGAAAAACTGGGCAAAAGATCGGGAACTATAGATACAAGCATAACCAACAGAATACAAGAGATGGAAGAGAGAATCTCAGGCGCGGAAGATAAACTAGAGGAAATAGATTCATCGACCAAAGAAAATCATAAATCCAACAAATCCTTAACACAAAACATCCAGGAAATATGGGACACCGTGAAAAGGCCAAACCTAAGAATAATAGGCATAGAGGAAGGCAAAGAAGCCAAGCTCAAAAATATTCAACAAAATCATTGAGGAAAACTTTCCCAATCTGAAGAAGGACATGCCTATGAAAGTACAAGAAGCATACCAAACACCAAATAGACTGGACCAAAGAAAAAAGACCCCTCAACATATAATAATCAAAACACCTAACATACAGAATAAAGAAAGAATATAAAGAACAGCAAAGGAAAAAAAGGACAGGTAACATATAAAAGAAGACCTATCAAAATTACACCTGACTTCTCCATGGAAACTCTCAAGGCCAGAAGGTCCTGGATAGATGTTCTACAAGTACTAAGAGTCCACAGATGCCAGCCCAGACTACTATACCCAGCAAAACTATCAATCACTATAGATGAAGAAAACAAGATATTTAATGACAAAGCCAGATTTTCACAATACATATCTACAAATCCAGCCCTACAGAAAGTTTTGGAAAGAAAACTCCAACCCAAGGAAATTAACAATGCTCACAAAGACATAGGCAATAAATAATCCCATTTTACCAGAACCCAAGGGTAAAGCAGGGCAATTATATTCACAAAACCACCACCATCAACAAATCTAAAACAAACAAGCATTAACAATCAATGGTCCTTACTTTCCCTCAATATTAATGGTCTTAACTCGCCTATAAAAAGACACAGGCTAACAGAATGGGTACGAAAACAGAATCCATCCTTCTGCTGCATACAAGAAACACATCTAAGCTTCAAAGATAGACATTACCTCAGGGTAAAGGGTTGGGAAAAGATCTTCCAATCAAATGGACCCAAGAAGCAAGCAGTTGTGGCTATCCTAACTTGTTAGAAACAAGTTAGACTTCAAACCAAAATAAAATTAATCAAAAGAGATGAAGACGGTCATTTTGTATTCATCGCAGGAGAAATCCATCAGCACAAAGTCTCAATTCTGAACATCTATGCCCCAGATACAAAGGTACCCACATTCATAAAAGAAACACTACATAAGAGAAACACTCAAAAATCACATGAAACCTCACACACTTATAGAGGGAGACTTCAACACCCCACTCTCACTGCTAGACAGGACCACCAGTCAGACACTTTAACAAAAAATCGAAAGAACTAACAGAAGTTATGTCTCAATTGGGTTTAACAGGCATAGAACATTCCATCCAAACACAGAAGAATATACCTTCTTTCTGCTCCACATGGAACTTTCTCTAAAATTGACCACATATTAGGTGACATAACAAACCTCAACGGATACAAAAAAATTGGAATAGACCACCATGCTTTAAAGTTGGAATTCAACAACAACACAAATCTCAGAAACCCTATACACTCATGGAAACTGAACAATGCACAATTGCACCATACCTGGGTCAAAGGAGAAATAAAGAAAGAAATTAAGGATTTCCTAAAATTCAATGAGAATGAGGATACAACATACCCAAACTCATGGAATACCTTGAAAGCAGTGCTACAAGGGAAATTCATTGCAGTAAGTGCCCATATGAAGAAAAGGGTGGATAATCACATTAGAGAATTAATAACACCACTGAAAGCCTTAGAACAAAAAGAAGCAAACTCACCCTGGAGAGGTAGACGCCAAGAAAAAATCAATTTGAGGACTGAAATCAATAAAGTAGAAGCCAGGAAAACAATAAAAAAAAATCAATGCAACAAAGAGTTAGTTTTTTGAGAAAATCAACAAGATAGACAAACCTTTATCCAAACTAATGAAAAAGCAGAGAGAGAACATGCAAATTAACAAAACCAGAAATGAAAAGAGGGACACAGAGGAAATCCAGACAATTTTCAGGTCATACTTTGAAAACCTGTACTCCACAAAATTTGAAAATTCAAAGGAAATGGACAAATTTCTGGATAATTATCACTTATCAAAATTAAATCAAGAACAGACAAACAACTTAAATAGTCCTATAACCCCTAATGAAATAGAAGCAGTCATCAAAAGCCTCCTAGCCAAAAAAAGCCCAGGGCCAGATGGCTTCAGTGCAGAATTCTACCAGAAATTCAGGGAAGAGCTAATATCAATACTCCTCAAATTGTTCCACACAATAGAAACAGAAGGTTCATTACCAAACTCTTTTCGTGTGGCTACAATCACCTTGGTACCCAAGCCACACAAAGACACAACTAAGAAAGAAAACTACAGACCAATGTCGCTCATGAACATTGATGCAAAAATACTCAATAAAATACTGGCAAACCGAATCCAAGAATACATCAGAGAAATCATTCACCATGACCAAGTAGTCTTTATTCCTGGGTTGCAGGGATGGTTTAACATATGAAAATCTGTCAATGTGATCCACCATATAAACAAACTGAAAAAGAAAATCACATGATCATCTCCCTAGATGCTGAAAAAGCCTTTGACAAAATTCAACACCTTTCATGATAAAGATCTTGGAGAGATCAGGGATAACAGGACCATACCTAAACATAATACGAGCAATATACAGTAAACCAACAGCCAATATCAAACTGAATGGAAAGAAGCTTAAGGCACTTCCTCTAAAATCAGGAACAAGACAAGGCTGCCCTCTCTCTCCATATCTCTTCAATATTGTACTTGAAGTTCTAGCTAAAGCAATAAGACAACAAAAGGAGATCAAGGGGATCCAAATTGGGAAGGAAGAAGTCAAACTGTCTCTATTTGCAGATGATATGATAGTTTACATAAGCGACCCAAAAAAACTCTACTAGGGAACTCTTACAGCTGATAAACACCTTCAGCAAACTAGCAGGAATTAAGATAAACTAAAAAAAAAAAAAAAAAAAAAAAATCAGTAGCCCAACTTTATTCAGACGCAAAGGGGCTGAGAAAGAAATCAGAGAAACATCACCCTTTACAATAGCCATAAACAACATAAAGTATCTTGGGGTAATGCTAACCAAACCAGTGAAAGACCTGTATAATAAGAACTTTGTGTCTTTAAAAAAAGAAATTAAAGAAGATACCAGAAAATGGAAAGATCTCCCATGCTCTTGGATAGGTAGGATAAACAGTAAAAATGGCAATCTTCCCAAAAGCAATATACTGATTCAATGCAATCCCTACTAAAATCCCAGCACGATTCTTCAATGACCTTTAAAGGATAATAATCAACTTTATATGGAAAAACAAAAGACCCAGGATAGCCGAAACAACCCTGTACAATAAAGGAACTTCAGGAGGCATCACCATCCCCAACTTTAAGCTCTACTACAGAGCTATAGTCCTGAAAACAGCCTGGTATTGGACCAAAAATAGACAAGTAGACCAATGGAACCAAATAGAAAGTCCTGATATTAACCCATACACCTACCAACACCTGATTTTTGACAAGACAGCTAAAAGTATACAATGGGAGGAGGAAAGCATCTTCAACAAATGGTGCTGGCACAACTGGATAATGGTGTGTAGAAGACTGCAGATGGACCCATGTTTATTGCCATGCACAAAACTCAAGTCCAAATGGATCAAAGACCTCAACATAAATCCAGCCACACTGAACCTCTTAGAAGAGTAAATGGGAGGTACCCTTGAACACACTGGTATAGGAGACCGCTTCCTGAACGTAACTCCAGCAGCACAGACACTGAGATGGGCAATTAATAAATGGGATCTGTAAGGCAAAGGACACAGTTGACAAGACCAAATGGCAGCCCACAGACTGGGAAAAGATTTTCATCAATCCTACATCTGACAGAGGGCTGATCTCCAATATATACAAAGAACTCAAGAAACTAGTCAACAAAACACCAAATAACCCTAATAAAAACTGGGATACAGAACTGAAGAGAGAATTCTCAATAGAGGAAATCAAAAAGGCTGAAAGACACTTAAGAAAGTGCTCAACATCCTAGCTATCAGGGAAATGCAAATCAAAACAACTTTGAGATACCATCTTACCCCTGGCAGAATGGCTAAAATTAGAAACACCAATGACAACTTATGCTGGAGAGAATGTGGAGAAAGGGGAACACTCCTCTACTTTTGGTGGGAGTGCAAACTCGTACAGCCTTTTTGGAGATCAGTATCACAGTTCCTCAGGAAAATGCGAATCAGTCTACCACAGAACCTGGCAATCCCCCTCTTAGGCATATACCCAAATGATCCACATCCATGCAACAAAGACATGTGCTCAACTATGTTCATAGCAATATTATTTGTAATAGCAAGAACCTGGAAGCAACCTAGATGCCCCTCAACTGAAGAATGCATAAAGAAGATGTGGCAATCTACACAATGGAATACTACTCTGCGGGGGGAAAACAATAGAATGTTGAAATTCACAGGCAAATGGATAGAATTTGAAGAAACCATTCTGAATGAGGTAACCCCATCACAAAAGGAGGAACATGGTGTGTACTCACTCATATATGGATTTTAGACATAGAGCAAAGGATCACCAGCCTATAATTCACAACACCAGAGGAACTAGGATGAAAGGAGGATTCTAAGAGATTCATATAAAGTCCCTCACAGAAGGGGGAAGGGACAAGTCCCCCAGAGCACATGGGGAGTGGGGGGGCAGTGAGTGGAGAGGGAACTAGGAGAAAGGGAAGGGGAGGAGAGGAAAGCACATGGGACTGGAAGATTGAGCCGGGAAGAAATAGGACAGAGAGAGAAAGAGAGAGAGAGAGAAAGAAAGAGAGAGAGAGAGAGAGAGAGTAACAGGGAGCCATTATAGGTTTGAAGAGAAAACTGAACCTAAAGAAATGTCCAGAGATCTACAAGAGTGATCCCAGCTAACAATTTGAGCAACAGTGGAAAGGCTACCATAAATGCCCTTCCCTGATAATGAGATCAATGACTAACTTATCCACCATCATAGAGCCCTCATCTAGTAGCTGATGGAAACAGAAGCAAACACCCACAACTAAACACTGAGCCCAACTGGAATCCAGATGCAGAGGGAGTGGACAAGACTAGGTTGCAGAAACACATAGAGACAGCTAACCTGAACAAGGAGGAGCTAACGGGCCCCCAGACTGGTAGCTGGGAATCCAGCATGGGACTGACTCAGACCCCCCTGAATATGGGTCTCAGCTAGAAGAACTGAGCAGTCTAAAGGACCTCAGACAGTAGAACCAGGATGTATTCCTGGTGTATAAAAGGACCTTGCGGCACATCCCCCATGGAGGGATACTCCCTTAATCTAGAGACATGAGAAAAGTCCTAGTTCCTACTCCAAATGACTTGACAGATTTAGATGACCGGTCCTGGAGGGCATCACCCTACATGCAGAGTGGGGGGGATGGGAGGGGTGGGTAGTTGGGGTGCATGTGAGGATGGGAGAGAGGGAAAGAGGGAGGGAGGAAGGGAAGAAGGGAGGGAGAGGAAATTGGGATCAATATGTGAAATAAAAATAAAAAATAAATTAATATAAAAAAGATCTGTAAAGATCTAGGCTTATAAACAAACAAACAAACAAAAAAAGACTCATGGGTCATCAAAGAATTGGTATTGTGACTTACCATGCAACTGTTGGCAGACTTTTCAGCTGAGATTGAGAGGGATCCAGAGATGATAAACTACATAGACATTAAAAAAAAAAAGAACGTGTCTTTAAATTCCAAACATCTTGTATCTGTGAGTTTCGTCTTGGCATTATCCCTGTCCCAAACTTTAAGTGCTCAGTATTGTGGCACTCAATTCCAACAGGCCATATAGGATGTCCTAAGTCATTCATTATCATCATCATCTATGTTTTCTCAATGTTTCCTCAAGTGCATGGTGGGCCATATCATTGTCCAAACTAATTCACTGCTGACGTTGTCCTATCCTTGACGGTGATCTTACTCTGGAAGTTATGGGTAGGGTTGCATAGCAGTCATTGCCCTGAGGTTGGGAGAGAGGACAATGGGGCTCATGTTTCATATCTGCTGCTAGTTCATCTCTCTGTGCTCCTAGAGCAGCCTAAGAGATTTAACAAGGTCCCTGTTTTCACACAGTTGATCGCCGTGAATTATTGTTGAAGCTCTTTCCCTCTCATCTGTAAAAATGACTTTCGTAGTAACAACAGTTTCTACTTACATTATTTTGTACTACGAGGATAGAGCCCAGGACCTTGGATGTGCTGGGCAAACAACTTTACCACTGAGCCATCCCTCTCTTATGTTTCTTTCTTTAAGAATCACTGAGGTGAAACACGTCTAAATGGTAAAGTGTAACTCTTGTGCAGTCAGAAGGGAGCACTGAACTGGATGGTCTGAAACCTTAAAAAAAAAAAAAAAAAAAAAAGGTTGCCCTAGATCATAGAGTTTAGGGGACTGATACCTACCACTTAGTTGAAACCCAAGAACTCAGGATGGGCCACAAAATCAGTGTGATATGACAAGATAATGAAGTAAAATTGTTGTGTACTCTAACAGTGTCTTCACTAGTAGATGATATGAGAGGCTACACAGAAATTCTAGCAGGTCTGAAAGTCACTAGAATTAATAAGAAAGTATAGTCATTTCACCAGATAGAAGATCAATGTGTGGATGTCAATTGTTAGTTGGGGTGGTGGTTCCAATGCAGGCCTATCTCTGTTAGTTCATGGCCAGCCTGGTTTATAGTGAACTGCCTGTTAGCCAGGAGCTGATACCTACTGAGATCCTGTCTTTAAAAAAAAAAAGTCAACTGCCTAGTCCTAAACCAACAACACACAGTTTGAGAATGTGCTTCAAAACATATTCATATAAGCAAGGTAAAATGATTAGGGAACAATCTAAAACAACATACAAGAAAAAAAAAACCACATTTATTTATGTGTGTATATATGTGTGGGTGTCATAGCTCAGGAAGCTTAGAAAAATAAAAGGTCTGAAAAGCTTAGCAGTTAACAATTGTAGGGGGGGTTGGAGGGGAAGGGAGGGGTGGGGGGAAGAACCTGAGGCTAAATAGGCCATGAGCCTCAGGGAAAACCTACTACTATTATTCTGTTAAAGGAAATCAGCAATAAAATGACTGTGAACAACACTGCTAAACCCATAGATCAGAGCCTCCTCAGAGAAGTTCTTTCTTGCAGTAGATGGAAATTAACATAGAGATCCAAATTGGACAGTGTACAGAGAGTGAGAGACTCTGGAGCACTCAGTCTAAAGTGGGGCATCATCAAAGCCCTCCTCCCTTCAAGGCTCAGGGATCTTCCTGGAAGAGGAGGCGTAAGGACTTTAAGAGCTGGAGGTGATGGATGGCTCCAAGGAAACGGTGTCCTTCAGGTACAACAGGACTGGTGCACAGAAGAACTTGCAGAGCCTGCGGCAGCACTCAGGACAAACACAGGTTCGAGGCACAGGTTCAGTAGGGATGGAAGGGGGAGTGGACATGGGGTCCCACCCTTAACAAAGAAGCTATTTGCAATTGGTACTTGCTGGCAAAGGGACAAACAGTTTTCTACAGTGGAGTCTCACTGGTATATCAACCACATTCCAGGGAGTCCCCTATGCCCAGGAGTAGTTAGTCAACAAAACACTTTTTAAAAAAAATTTTTTTTTGGTGGGAGCCTTTTTGTTTCTTTTTAGCATTTTTTTTCTTGTCCTGTTTTGTTTGTTTGCTTGTTCTGATGTTCATTTTTTGTTTTTGTTTTTGTTTTTGAGAAAGAGAGAAAGGAAAAGAGTGAGTAAACGTAATGAGCATTATAAAGTTGAGAGTGAGTGGGTAGGGAGGTGGGGAGGATCTTGGAGGAGTTGGGGGAAGGTAAAACCATAATAAAAACATATTGTATGATTTTTTTGGTTACAACCACTTGCTGGGGGCGGTGGGAGACTCTTTAGTGGAGTGCTTACAAGTTTTGCAAGTAGCTCAGGAGATGTGGTTTTTGGGAGTCATCACTCATGTGGGCATGAGCTTTTCAGCGATTTATACAGCTGCTTGTATAAATCAGAAATATAGTTCAAGATCCCACTTAGCCTGCCCCTCGATAAGCCCAAAAGATCAACCCATCTTAGCAGGTATGACTCCAGCCTTCACCCAGTTTCTGCCATGTGAAAGCCCCTACATTGGCAGCTCACCAGGCTTTTCCTGTTGTTGGAAGTACCGCTTACTTTTCCTGGGAACCCAGGCTTGAAGGCTCCGCTTTTAAAAATCTTTCTATAATAAAACTCCTCTTAAACTCATCCTTTATTTTCTGTGAATCTCACCCAAGTTTGCTAGATAAGGAGTCACTGACCTACTGGGAGTTTTGCATGACCCTGAATGACCTGCACCCTCAACCCAAATTAAGACTTTCAGGAGACAGTCTGTTTTTCTGAACGGTTCTCCTAGTCCCCTGGCTTTCACATAGGCAGTGCTGCCCTTATAAATGTCTGCCACCTGCTGGTGAGGTCTCTACAGAGTAGGGGAAGGCCTTGAAATGACTTTATCTGCAATAGCCTGTTTCCTGTTACCAAATGGTTGGACAACTTGCTTAATTCTTGAAAATTTTGCAGTTGTTCTTGTGACTAGGAGTCAGATGCTGTGTACATCACGGAACTCTGTGGACTCTGTGGCTTACATATTTTACAGTATTAAGATAATCTATATCAGGGATTAAAGTTGCTATAAGTGTCCGATGCTGGAGGAAGAGAAAGGCTGAAGCTTGGTGCCAGCTAGAGAAAGAGCTTGCCTTTGCCAATCTGTCAGGTCACTTGGAAGGACATACTGGAACTTAGGCAGTGATGGGCCAGTGATGGACAAGACCACACCTTGACCATAACTACATAGTTATGTGTGGTCCTTATCTGATACTTAAACACCAAAGGTAGGTTTAGAGGAGGTGTCACCGGGCCTCTTTATTTGTTCCTCTTCTCCCTGCAGTCACAGGAAATAAATCATCTTTATTTTCTCTTTTGCTATGGCCTGTTGGGGGGGGCGGGTAGCAGAGGCTGTCTTGTTAGTGCTGCATAGCTTGCATAGCTGAGGCTCGGACCCTAAAAACTCTGATGATGACATGAATGTTTTTAGGTGGCAGGTGGTGTTGCCAGGATGTAGATGGGCTCTTCAGCCCTCAGCAGCAGCCACAGACATGACTGGGGGTAGGATTCAAAGGTCTTTTTACCCCATCCCACCCACATGGCTTTGTACTCACAGATAGCCCTCCCCAGACCAGGTACCCTGTTATCCCCAGCACAGAATAGCTCCAGTATAGTTGAGGGTTGGCTGCAGAGACGATATGAAACAGGCCAATGAGGATCTGGATACCCTGTGGGGAGAGCAGAGAGCAAACTGGTGAGAGAGAGCTGGGCTGCTGGCTGCACTTTATCACCCTGGCTGTGCCCCAGAGTCCCTGAGGTTTGATTGGTATCAGCTCACCTAGACCCACACCTAGACTAGACCACTATCTCTGGTTGGGGTCTCTTCCAGGTGTGTCTTAAAGCTCCACAGGTGGTACCAGGGGGTACCCTGGGTAACAAAAAGGGTAAGATGGCTCAGAGCAGTTTTCTTTTGAACTTGGATTTCCAAATGCCTTCACATAGTTGGCCACTAGAATTAATATGCATCTCATTGGTATTAATTAATAGCATAAAAAGCATAATACAGAGCTGGGTGGTGATGGAGCACACCTTTAATCCCGGCACTCTGGAGGCAGAGGCAGGCAGATGTCTGTGAGTTCAAGGCCAGCCTGGTCTACAGAGTGAGTTCCAGGACAGGCTCCAAAGCAGCAATACAGAGAAACCTTGTCTCCAAAAAAAAAAAAAAAAAAAAAAAAAAAAAAAAAGAAGCGTAATACAGAATTACAGTGCCTATGTAACATCACCACATCACCTTCACCCATACAATTAAAGTCTCCCTTGGTCCTTGGGAACAGCATTTGGATTTCTGAGATAATTTTTCAGACTTTAGTCCAAGAGGTGGCTCTGATAAATTGGGGCTACAAACAATGCTCTCTGTTATTGGCCCAATCTACTCATCTATTTCTGCAGATAGACAAAAAGGGAGGGGTTGGAGTATGTATTATTCCATTTACTATTGCTAAAATAAAATACCAAATGCTGGGTAATCTGAAGAAAAAAAAAAAGAAGTCTATTCATCTCACAGCTTGGGAACTGTCAGTTTGAGCTGTATAAGGCCCCTGGCTGTGTCACTGTGTGGTGAATAGCATCATGATGAGAGTTCACGCAAGAGGGAGAGATTATACAGTGAGACAGAAAGCCAGAGGGTTGGGGCCAGTCTTGCTCCCAGGAGAAGTATCCAGAGTCTATAAGGACTAGCCCAGTGACCTACACTTCCCGCTGGGCCCTACCTCTCAGAGGCTCTCTGGCACCCCTCGGCATCACCATACCGGGGACGAAGCTTCTGACAGGGCATAGCCTAGCCATATCCCCATCAGAGTAGGGTTTTGATGAGTCTGTCTCTTTCCTGAACCTGCCTCGTCCTCTCACCTCTAGGAGGGTAGTCACCTCTCAAATGAACTTGCACTCTCTGAGCAGCAAAGCTGTGCATGTGATACTTCATGGAGAGTGCCAAGAAGGTACAGTTGCAATACTGCTATGAAATACCCCCTCCCCCACCCCTCGTCTTTGAGGACCATGTCTTGGTAATTTCTGAATCTGTCTCCTCATAGAGTGCCCTCCATGCTGAGTGAGCGAGTGCATTGAGATAGAGAATTTGCTACAAGCCAGTCGTCTTGCTAGGAGTTGGCTGCTATCTAGTGGAGCATAGGACTGGTCTTGTTTCTGCCTCAAAAAAAAAAAAAAAAATTGAGATTTTCAAAGTGTTACATGAAACTAGAGGATGCAGGAAAGAGGCAGGAAAACCCTTGGTGGAAGAGGAAGTCAGCAGCCTCAGGGCTTGTGGGATCTAGAGGAGCTTACTAGATCTTACGATAGAGAGGCAGCAGCTGAGGCTGAACTGGTCAATGGTCTTTCTAGTGAAGCTGCTGTTGACCCTTGTCCTGATAGCTAGGAAAGGGATAGCTGGTCAATTTTATAGCCTTCCTAAGAGCCTGTGGGATGAACTGGGAAGCAGAGGAATACAGGATGGGACTGCCATTTGTGGGGTTGTCCTAGACCTAGCCTTTAGAAGCTGCTACCCTCCTTTGACCTCCAAACCCAGAGGCACCAGAGATGGTCTTACAAAGCTGGAGAGATGACGTCATACTCACCCCTAATGTTCTGACCTCTTTACTTATGAATTTTTTGGGATCAAATTCAGGAAAGGACATAAAGGACATGTTCCACTGGGGATTGCTTGAGGTCTGTGTTGGCCCCGGGACAGTGTTCAGGGGATTCTGAGGGTTTCCAGGCAGGACCTGGACACTTGGTATTTCTGGTGAGTACTGGATCACTCCTGGTGAAGGCTGCACACCAGCCATTCCTACTGGATACTGTAGTACAGTGGGCTGGGCCTGCAGGCCTGTCAGTCCAGCTGGATTCTGGATCACAATGTGTGGTCTTTGTAAGTTTGTACTGCCTGTATTGTACTGGAGCACAGTTGCTGGTGCCGGGTAAGTCGTCATTTCCAATGGCTGGACATTGCCTGGGACAGCAGTAACAGCAGACACACTCTCTTGTTGGATCATGATGTATAGCTACCACAAAACACACAAGATACAGTTGTCACTGATAAATCAACAATCCATCTAATCCCTTCTTATGCTTGTCATTGTCTTCACTAAAATGCAAGCCCTCTGCACAAGATAAGTGTCCTCGTTCCCTGGGAGTTCAGTTCTGGGGATACAATATTCAAATGATTGGGGCATACTTGAAAATCTAGGGGTCAGGCCCTGCCTGGACCCCGAGGCACCTTGAGCAAGCCTGAAGCTATTGGTTGGAACTCCTTGCCCCAAACCTTTTGTTGATACTCTTCCTGTTTTGATAACGTGCACCTCGTGACAATACACACCTCGTGGGGAGGAGCTAAGCCTAAAATTCCTGTAATTTTCCACTGTGCTGTAAGTTAGTATTTAAGCCCGTTCTATCTCCTCAATAAAGGCATTTGGCGTTCTGACATTGCCATTGAATGAAGAATGAATGACCGCTGTCTTGTCTCTTTATTTCACTCTCTAGACCTTCACCCGATTCGTGGAACAAACTATAGCGTGGGCGCTACATCTAGGTCTCTATCAAAATTTTAATTTAATTTGTTTTTTATGTGTACGGGTTTTGCCTTCATGTATGTCTGTACACCACAAGTGTGCCTGGAGCCTGAAGAAGCTAGAAGAGGGTGTCAGATCTCCTGGAACAGGGGTTACAGATGCCTGTGAGCTGCCATGTGGGTGCCGAGAACTGAAGCACACACTTGGCTTGTGTTCATCTATATTTCAACTGCTGTTTATAGGGTCCTGGGGAGTCAGAGGGTGGCCTGATCCTTACTAGCACATGGTTTCCATCTCCCAGTGTTTGGTGCTGCTGGAAGAGAACAATCTGACCATGGTCCTGAGCTGTCCTCTGATAAGATAGAGCTGGAGGATGTCTTAATTTTCCTGCGCTGATGAGGAAGGATGGTGGTAGGAGGCAGGCAGTCTCCTTAGCACAGTAAAGACTTGGTAGAAATATTTCCCATTTGGATGAGGAAAGGAAAATCACCTGTCAATATTCACTTCTATCTAATCTTATTGCAGATGAATTGTACCTCCTTGCTGGCAAGATGTCAAATGCTACGGCACAAAATAATATGAACTAGATTCTAGTAATATGCAAGCAGGAAGCTTTCTGGCCTGTTTAGATGACTAATACAAAGTAAATCCATTGCAGTGCTCCATGGTATGGTACTGGCCAGCAGGAACCAAGAGGGAGGAAATTACCCAAAAGGCTGACATCAGCTTGTCTCTAGTGTTGGCTGATGGGCTGGCACTGTTCACTACTAACCCTCCAGATAGTGAACCCACAGGCAAGGTAGCATCAGGGTCCAGAGATCAGGCAGCCATGGACAGTTCTGTTTTTATGACCTGCAGGTGTAAGAGCATTAGCTCTATTTCTTGTCTGTGGAAGGTAGATAGAGATAGCACTTTCCTTGGCCATTTCACCTCCAGCACAGGAAAGCACTTTTAGCTCGCCCATTGCTGAAGGGTAGAAGCCATCCCTAAAGAAAGGCTATCCTCAGAACCCTGCCACCCATAGACTCTAAGCTATTTTATTTCCAATACAAAGTCAAATGCATCTTTAAAGTGTGGTCTCTAGGTCAGCAGTGTGAGTATCACTTGGTAAAATCTCACTTCACTTTCCAGACATTCTCAGTTTTTCTTCTACTGTGCCTCCTAGGCGACGCTGATGCTGGCAAAGTTTGAGGCCCCCATTAGCACAGAAAGACTCCGTGGTTGGTAGAGTTCTTACCAAACATACATGAAACCCTGGGTTCTACCTCCAGCACCAAAGAAACTGGGTGTGGTAGCACATGCTTAGAGTTTGAGGCCCCCACTAGCACAGAAAGACTCCATGGTTGGTAGAGTTCTTACCAAACATACATGAAACCCTGGGTTCTACCTCCAGCACCAAAGGAACTGGGTGTGGTAGCACATGCTTAGGATCCCAACACTTGGGAAGGGAAAATAGGAGATTCAGAAGTTCAAGGTCATCCTCTGTCACATAGTGATATTGAGGTCAATCTGGGATACACCAGACCCTGTCTTGAAGCAAACCCAAGAAGACAACAGCATCAACAAAAGTAGGGTCTGTACAGGCCCATGCTAGCTTCTTGGAAAGCTGAGGAAGGAGGATTGCAAATTCCAGGCTCACTTATTTACAGAGTAATTTCAAGACAATTTGGGCTACTTAATGAAACTCTGTCTCATAATTGAAATTACACAAGAGTAAAAAGGTCTGGAAATGAAAGTTGGTGACAGAGCACTGCTCAGGGCAAAGGAGGCCCTGGATTCAGTTCTCAACACCCCCCCAAACAAAACAAAACAAAACAAGACAAACAAACAAACAAAAAAATGGACAAGAGAAACACCTGTCCTTGGTCTGAGAGCTGACAGCCCAGGAAGTACCCATGATGTCTCCCTCATCTCCATATCCCACATCTCTCCACTAAATCCCACAGGGACCTAGGCTCTGAGAGGAGGGGGGATGATTAATTCATTCACAGGAATGAACTTGGAACCCAGGATTATTTTCCATAAAGCTATGTTTTAACTTCCTGTGTCTGTCGGGTGACACAAACCATGAATGTTATGAATGTTAAAGTTTTGGAACATACTGTGTCAAGCACCATGTGCCACATCTCCTTAAACTTTTAGCTTTCCTTTCTTTCTCCCAGAAACACCAAGTTTTCAAGAGAGGTGGCAGATAGCAACAACTATAGCAACCATAGATGCTTATGTCTCACAGCCCTGGAAATATGAAACAATTCCTCCAGCCATGCACTATTACTATGTATATTTTTCAGATGAACTGAATGTTAAAGAAGTTAGCTAGCCTGAACATAGTCATGCAGAAAATGTTGAAGTTGAGGTTTGTTTTTGAGATAGAGTCTCATGTAGCTCAGGCTATCCTTGAACTTGTTATGTAGCTAAGGATCCTCCTGCCTCCATCTCCCAAGCGTTGGAACTATAGTCATGTACTACCATGACCAGTTTATAAGGAGCTGAGAGTGTGTGTGTCAAACGCAGGGCTTTGTGTATCCTAGGCAGATATTTTGCTAGTGCAGCCTGAAACTGGGATACAAATGGTTTGGATGGAACATCTGCCTGTCTCTCTTTCAAAAGAAATGCTATGTAGAATCAACTCTCTCTTCCATGCCATGGGAAGATGGGGTAGTTCTATCCATCCCACCATCCCTCTAACTCCCCCCCCCCCCAGGAGGTTCCTTGTTGTTCAGTGTGTGAAGAACAATATCATTACAGATATGGCAATTAACACAGAGAGCTAAGCCCTGGGCTGTGCTCCTGAGGACCTGATGTGTTTAACAAATGGACTCAGGGAGAGGTCCAGCCTTCTTTCCTGGGATTACTTTGCTCAGGCAGAGGGGGAAATAGTTCCAGGAACCTGTTCTGACTTTTCAGCAGTTTGCCAAGTGGCTGAGCAGCAATGGTCTCCAAGGTTGGGTTATCATGAGCTCCCACCATGCTCTATCCTGCTGTCTACAGAGGACCCCTGACTCTTGCAGCTCCTAAAGGATCTTTTCAGGGCTTGTACAGGTCTTGGGTCTCTTTTGATAATGTCCAAGTTCTGTGAAGACCCTGCGAAGGAGTGCCCAGAAGTCTTACCTCGAGTCCTGGCAAGTCTATCTCTCTCAGGCTCTGGCAGTTTCTGCAGCTTCTTTGGAAATTTAAAAACACAAGGGAAGAAATTTTAAGTTTCTCTTTCAGGCTCCAAAGTCCTCCTTGCAGTTTCACGGAGAGCCAATGACTATGATGTCAGGCTCCCACCTTGAGTTTATCTGCCCCTCAGAGCATTTATGGCCTTGTCTAGAGTAGGATTCTATGGCAATGGTTCTTCCAAAGTCTGCCTTTGAGAAAGTGTCCCATGCAGAATGTCAGAGTGATTGCACCTGGAGATAGGGACCTCATAAAAAGGAATTAAGTTACAATGAAGTGGTCAGGATGGGACCTGAACCAGCATGAATGGTGTCCTTATAGAAAGCAGATTTATGTCATGCCTGGAGCCATGAGTCCAAGACATGGTGTGTGTGTGTGTGTGTGTGTGTGTGTGTGTGTGTGTGTAGAAGTAGTCATTGGGCCAGAATTGATATAGATGTTTTAATAAAGAATATACACTGTGGATAGAAACATGGAGAAAAAGGGAGGAAGGGGAAGGAGAAAAAGAGAAGGTGGGGAGGGAAAGGGGGAAGGAGAAGGGGATAAGGAGAGAGAACAAATTGTACCCCTAATGGGGAATGGCCTCTTTTTATTTATTTATTTATTTATTTATTTTTATTTAATTTTATATAACAAAGTCCGATTAAATGAAAACAAACATTTATACACAATATTTGGGAATTTGGGCGTCGTTCTTTCCAAACTACTTCCTGCTGGTAAGGGGCGCTGTCTTGGGGGATTCGAAGAAGATTCAGATATCCTAGCTGTAGTCTGTAGGGCTGTTTTGTCCAGCTGTTTGGAATGTAGGATCAGCTTGTACTCTGTTTCAGTCGGTCTGGCGTGATCAAACCACATTAGTCTGGAAGGAATCCACATCTTTTCGGAATGGCCTCTTTTTATGACAGTTTGGAGGAGTTATCTGGATTTGCCTTAGGTCGTTTGTGTGGTGTTACATTGGAAGAGGTTGTAGGTTGGCAGCTCACCATCTTGTTGAGTAGTAATTTTATATCACAACACTCATCTTTCTCAAGGCCAGCCATTTGGGTGAGGCACCCAGGGCTCTTCAGGAGTTAGGCTGAAGTTATTTGTTTATGACATTCCAAGCCTGGGCAGGCTCCAGGCAGTTAGTGTCTGATTGTTGGAGTAGGGTATTTTTGGCCTTTTAGTTTTTCTCCTTTTTTATTCCTTTCCGTTTATAGATTTTCCCCCCTAGACAATATATTTTGATCATGTTTTTTGTCTCACAATCCCTCCCAGACCCTCCCCAACTTCCTACCCATCCAACTTTGTATTCTTTTTCTCTATCTCTTAGAAGAAAACAAACACA